TTACTTTATGCCTTATTCAGAATATTAACTTTCACATTTACTTAAATAATTTTGAAATAAAAAGTAGATAAACCTAATTACCGGAAAGGAAATTTGGAAGCATACAAACTTCGAACTATTAAATATATATAAATGAAATTCCATATGTAGGCATGAATTACTGGATTGCAGTATAACTTTATACAAAGATGTACGAAGGAACAAGTACTGTCGTTATTTGACAAATCGTTCCTGATGTGTGGCGAGGTGGGGATTCTTGAAAATCGTGATTTTTGCGTTGCATAATTTATGGACGACTCCTTATTTGTAAAAAATTACTTTGCATTTTCATTCGTAAACCTGCACACTGCAGTATGCATTTACAGAAGATATACATAAGTTACGAAAATTATGTCCTAATGGATTCATATCCATTTATTTTAAGATAACCACCCTAATTTTCAACGTTGTCTAAACTTTGCAAATAAGCAACAGTAAAGTACAACCTAGAAGGCTTAACCAAATAAGAAAGAACGTTCATATTCCCTCCTGTGTCGTTAACGGTAAAGGATTTTCCCTTTTTTTCAAATATGTGATAAGCAATCTTGTGAAATTCGATCGCTGTTACTGCCATGTGAGACGATCTCTCCAGAATTTTCCACACCTTGCCTCGATAAAACCTTGAAAATATGTAATATTTAACTTTCGACCATCCCACCGTTCTAAATTTCCATGCATAATTATCAAACAATATTGATTCCTTAATCGTATATAACTGTTTCCAGTAATAATTCCTCCCTAGATATTTCATCTCTGCCTTAATATTCGCATGGAAATCGGTATATGCCAACTTGCCACATTTTACTAGCTCATATTCCACAATGCTGTCCTGCTGGAGACGTCATTCAAACGGAATTTCACGTCCATGAAAGCTCTCCATGAGGAATTTGCCGTAACTGACCGCGGCCAAAATTGAATTCTCCCATCTTAACGGATTTTCAGATAATATAGTCCCAACCCAACGTTCGATTGGTTGCCTCTTGTGAAAACCTTCTACCATAATCATTTTCATACTTCTGCCAAGTTAAATCTAAATGATACTTAAGTATAAGGTTAGCCGCTTGTGTAGATAACTATTAACATACTTTAGAAATCATACTTTGGGATAGTGTTTACAACTGATTCAAATGTGCAAAAACCAATTCTAGAAGTCTGTTACCCATCTTACCGAGAGACAAATACAACATATGTTGTATGTGTCAGTTATATATACATATAACTGACAATATTATTTATGTTCGCTACTTGCACGTTTCCTTTGTAAAAATGGATTTTAAACTGTTAAATACAAAAATGTCAACTCATTGTCAAAAAATAAAGCATTTACATTATGTTATGTTAATGTTAGTAAGTACAAAAGAAAGTTGAAACTTTCATTTACTTTATACTGTTAATTATTTCACTGTATTATATTTTTTATTTAGCCATACATTTACTTATACCATATATCAATTATATCATATGTATGCTGTAAGATTCTTTAATTAGTTAAAATTACATATTGTTGTGTACCAATCTTTATCTTGCCATTAATGAAATGTAGGATTATTTAGAAATATATTTACCTATGTAAACTTTACATATATGTATAATGCAGACTTAAAAGATGGCAATTTGTTTGGCATGCATTTCATATCAACTTTTGGCAATCAAAGAAACACTCATTTCATACGAGAAAAATAATTGAAGAACACTTTATGCTAAACTTGTGTATGTAGCCCATATCCGCTTCGAAATGAGCAATTTAACACGTGCACTGAATATTCGTAATAAGCTCGGTCGGAAATGAACTAAATAATCGAGAACACTATTATGCAAATCTTTTACTCTTCTAAGTTCTAGCAAAACTTTAGAGAATAAAATGACACGTTTATATTTATCAGAAGCACCACAAAACTTTTCGAAACAAAGATTTTTGAATTTACCATTATTTATTTTATAAGAAATAGTAAATTAATTCTTAAAACTTCAGCTCAAAAGTGCGAATTTTATTTCGCCTATAATATCCTGGGGCTGCAATGTAGTGTTGATTGCTGCAAAAGCACGTATTGTTTTCTGAAATATTTAAGTGGAAAGAAATTTCATTATGATAACGATCATCTTGCCTTGTTACTTATTTGTAGTATTTCCATCCTTCTTTTTATGTTCACCCATTTGGAATAACGTCTTTCTCAAGGCCGACCTCACCTTCATATTTAGTCCGAAATGTTACAACTTATTCAATTTAGACGCAGATTTGCCTTACTTTGAAGAACTAAAAGTCGCCAATCTGTACACCCCGCTCCGTCTTATTGTTATTTGCCACACGTCTTCTCAAACTCTCACGCCCAGCTGGCCCAAATCTCTAAGACCGTTTAAGTATCGTTCTAGAGAAAAATCGGCGCGAACAAAATCCACCTTTGTTCAGCTAGAACAGACCCCGTGGTCCACAGCAGTTGCAGGATATTTAAGCTGTGAGTACTTGATTCTCATTCTTGGCGAAGTTTTTCGACAAGAATACATATTTATCAACGCTAACCCTCACCGTGATGCGGTTTGCTTCGAACGTGCCGCTAATATTCTTGGAACAACGAAACTGATCATTTTCGAGAAGACTGTCACTTCTACCCTCTTAATTCCATGTTTGACATGTAAACCAATCGTTTTTCAATACCTCGAAATCATCACATTTCAAGAAATCGGTCAAGCTTGGCATACTCATAATAAGGACATGCACAAATATTCGGCGTTTGTCGACGATTCAATCAACACAACGTGTGGTCTGCTACACAGCGGGTTCACAAATTCAAAATATCCCGACTTTTGCCCGATAGCGACAATTGCGGCCAAATACAATCTGACCTTGATTGAAGACCACGTTTTCTCTTATTCCTATAACGAAAGTTTTGGTCGTCTACTCGTTACCCGCCTTAATCATTTTTTTCTCCGTGACGCCATTTTTCAAGTCAACTTTAAGTCGTTCAACTTCGTAACTGTTACCAACCCGTCGACCCATGCAAGTGGGGTGGAGACGTTTGTGTCTCCTCTGGACGTTGAGACGTGGATTTGTCTCTTAATAAGTGTGGTATCAACAGTGGGATTCTTAGCGTGTCAAGGCACAAATCGTAATATCTTGACGGTCACAATGGTTGCTGACAAACTAATCACCATAACGTCCCTCCTCCTCGGTCAGGTTGGCGAAACAAGTGGCAAACCATATCAAACAGGCAAAGTGATCTTGATCTTGATAACGTTATGGTTTTTTGGGAATCTCATCCTGATGTCAAATGTGTACCAAGGAATGATATATTCATGCTTGGCCGTTCTCGTCCCGCCCCAGACGCCAAGCGGGATGGACGACCTGGTAAATTGGGACATTCCAATTGTAGCCATGGATATTGCTTTTGATTCCCGCACAAATACGTACAAACCATACTTGTCGAGATATATCATTCCAGAGTTAATCTTGAGCAGTGAGCAGAATCCGAAATTTATGCAATTCCTGACGAAATTTAAGGCAAAGATTTCTTCTATAAGTACCAAGTCGGTGTCTACCATGGTGGATACAGTATTTCTCGAAAATTCCGACAAAAGCCATCAAACTATTGCCCTTCTGTGTAGCGATGATGTCTTAGATGATATCGCGAAACAAATTAAATTTCAGGGAAATCGTCGCGGCGTGCGAAACCGGGGTGACTCGCCATTTAGGAATGTGGAGTTTAAAGTGGGAATTAGAAATTTGCTGGCGCCATATTTTGCGAAGGAGTGGAGAAACTTGAACGCGGCTGGTTTGAACCAGATGTGGAATAAGGTGTACAGGATTAGTTTGTTTTTGCGGGTTAGGGGAACACATTTGGGAAAGCAGAAATATTTTGAGGTAACACAAAGCTTCTTCGGTAATCCGAGAGAAGGAGTAGTATTTCATGAGGCTACGCCCGTGTCGGTAGGATTGATCCGACCAATCTTTGCCATATGTGCAGTAATCTTGGCAATAGCGGTGGTACAATTTATGGCAGAAAGTAAGATATGTTTTAGAAACAAGGTAACATTAAGGTCAGTTTTTTGTAATGTTTCAACGAAAATTATATCGATTCGCGATGAAATCGATTAGAATTTTTATGTAAAGGAGGAATGAAATTTGTTGTTCAAGCTGTAGGATCCCCCTTGATTTCTGAAATTAACTCGGACCGGAACTTACCAACCCGAACTGTTGTCAGCAATGAGTTGCCGCGGCTAGTCGTGGTTTCTATTTATGGATGTAATGAAGTTGGGCCACCTCACAAAGCATAACCCGAACCGCGTGGCTAGAATTCATGTTCAGGAAATGTTAAGTGTTTGAGAAATGTAGTCATTGGAAGAATCGATTAAAGATATGAATCTTTCCCCGAGCGACGTTTTGGGCATACTGAAACGTCACATTATTGAACATTGGCTATCCCAACGAAATCACGATCGAATACCTCATTCGGATCTTCGTCATAACAATTTAGAGCATGAAGAGGAACGATCAGTAAAGTTTTATTTGTATGTCCTTATAATCCGGAAGCTATATATAATGAAGATTTATCCCTAGTGAGTTGGCACTTTCATATGATAGGATAGAAGGGGAATTAATAACAAGGGAGGATTGAGGGGACAGAGTTTTTGGGTGGGCAATATCCCCCTTCCAACATTGTTGCAACGTCGGTGTACATCCATGCATGCCTCGTGTCAGTAAATGTTTATTGTTAATTGCCTTCAAAAATTTATCGGTTATAGTGATGTACGTTCCAGGAACGAATTAATGTATAATTAGTACATATGCAGCAATAAACCAAATATGATTCGAAAAAAACAGTAGATTTTATATTTTTGAGGAAAAGTAATGACAAATGCAATTTTAAAACCATCAATATATTTGACTTTATTCTACATTTTGCTCAATTGTTTAAACAATTTAACCCGAGAACAAAACAGAATGAAGGGATATAGGAATTTCTGAATCAAAATAAGCCCTTCCGACCTCTCTCAAATCCCTCCCATCCAGCCATACCATAAAATCCTGCCATTTCTCCTTCATTGCCAAATAGTTTACCAAACCAAATAGTTTTAAGTTTTATAACCTTATGATGGTGCACGGAAGGACATAATGCACCCGTTGTCCAAACGAATCGGAGATCTTTGCCAGAAAATTTCTTGTTCCAAGTCGGAAAATCCATCTTGACATCAGACACTAGTTCAGGTTGAAGAAAAATTTTGTCGTCGATTTTTAACGCCGTTGCGGTAGAATTAACACTGACCAAATTCTTGTTTTCTGGACATATTCCTATTGTCGCGACACCTAACGGGATCACAAAGCGAAGAAGGCGTGGACACTCTGCATCTCTTAGAACATGCCAAGCTCGAAGTTTAGCAAGTACTTGAGCATCGACAAATTGAATATTCGGCATTCCAAAGAGATCCACGATTAGATGGTCATTTTCTTCGTAACAATTGAGAATGTGGAGGAACACAAAGGCATCCTTTGATAGAATTTCAGTCTTCATCACTTTCAGTGTTTTCTTGTTAAAGATATCTAAAGAATTTAATAATGTAGACAAAACAACACATTTGGAAAAAATTATTTTCTGTATGAACTTACAAAATTGGTTCTTCTTCTCTGGAAACCAGTCCATCACCTCCCTCTGACAGAAACCTTTAAACATTAACTTAATTGCTTTGGCTAAATTGAAGTGGCACGGTTGATCAATCCAGACGAGGTAATTGTTGGACATTCCGAACGAGTGGAGCAGCGGGACACCTGATTTCGTTCGACATGAATGCGACCCAATAATCTTCCCTTTCTTCAAAGTTTCCTTGAGCGGACTTGACTTGCATCCCTGCGGATACTTTACGACCTTCCACTTGACAGCGGGAACTATGCTGATGCCAACATTGTACGTCTCGCCGGTCGCCGGGTCGGTTAGGGGATGTGCTGATATGGCGTGCAGGCTGAAGTCATTCGCGGAATCGTATTCTGATTGGCGGAAATTTTGAATAGTTTGAAATGTCAGTGTATCATGTTTTTAAAAGGTTAAGAGACTTACTCGATATACAGTGCAAAGATTTCGGGTCAAGCTCGTACCTGCAAATTCAAAGTATGGAGATACGTATGTGTAGCTAAATATGTTAAATTATGACATGGTTGGTTTAGTTACATGAAGCCGGCGTGTCCAATAACGATTGGATTTCGACAAATCTCCGATGTGCAGATGTATTGGCAATTATCGGTAGCTTGAAGTATCTGGTTTATCAATTAAAAAAATGTTCCATTTTTATTATTAAATGTATGCGTATAAACAAGTTTATTTTACTGTTAAGTTAAATATTTTACCATAGCTACAATTTTTCCAAGTGCAGATTTCGCATCTGAACCTGCTGTTCTGGTGGAGAATTCGCTAATTATTGGTTTCTGTGATGCTTCTGCCCTTTTGAAGGCTTCCGACGACACAAATTTTGAAGTGAAAGAAACGCTGCCAGATTTGCCTCCTTTAATATCAAATTTGGTTATCATTTGATAGCCGTCGAAAGTGTGGTTCAGTCTGAATTTCGGATAGTCCCACCTGATCGGTAGAAGACATTTGCTATTTAAAATTTAGAGTAAAATTAAAACGAAAGGACTTACTTGGCCGGACAACTTCGGGAAACCTGGCCAGCTGCCCATTCTGGAATTTCTCCAATAATTTTTGCAACTTCTGGCTTTCTGGTTTCCTTTAAGGATTTGAAAACCCTGATTTGGTTTTCTGCCATCGCCATGATTTTTTTCTTTAATATTTCGTGACTGATTCAATTTTAGTAAGAGTGAAAAAGTGTGTAATTCCTATATTTACAAAAAATTTATTTAACCTGCAGTAATAAAAATGAATCCAATAAAGATTTAAACGATAGCACATTTATTCTTCAGTCATATTTGTTAACAGATTTCGCGTGCGTCCCTCGTAAAAGTTTATTAAGCAATATTGCAGAATATCCCCTCCTTTATGAATTGCTGATTTTGCATAACATCGGAGCGCCTGGATGCAGGAAGAGGTTAAATTTTAAGGACATGTAAAAAAATTGTAAACCAACTTTAACTTCTTGTACATCGTTGCCTAAAGGAAACTACGCATCCATGAGAATTTATCTCATTTGAGAAAAGTGTTGGTTCTGAGTGTACATATTATGTTGATGTTAACTTGCTTAAAATAATTTCCAATTTTTTAGGTCAAAGTCGGTTTCACGTGTCACTTTTGTTGAGATAATCATTTCTTAAATAACCTGTGCCTTATTTAGTATAAAGCATGGTAGAATTAATCAATTTTCTTTCGGAATGAAGCAACAGTGAATATTTAATGTTCGTAGTTCGACTCATAATTTAGTTTACTGCAGTAAACTCATGAGGATGAGTATGTATGTATGTATGCGTCGTACATATATGATACAAATATCAAGTTTTGTTATCTAATATAATATAATAAGATAACATAAGATAACAAAACTTGATATTTGTATAGATAATATCTATAGGCAATTTTGATGTGTGTTGTAAAAAGTAAAGATGTTTGCGAAGTATGATAATTACTATTTATGCAAAACTAAAAAAACACACTGGATGAGAAAAATCTTAAAATATATAAATCTTATAATGAGACACTGCTTACTTAGTTACGTAATAGATATATAGTTTGTTGAGTTACGTAATAAAGTCAAATAAAATACAGAGAATGATTTCCGCAAATAAAAAAAGGAAAAAAAATTAAAATTAGAATTAAAAAAAATTTATTTGGAGCAAAAATCTAGCAATTCCATACATTGTACAATTAATTAAATTAGTAAATGTATGTGGTCTAAATGTTTGAAATAAATAAGTCAATGCTTTTAAATGTCAATAATGGAAAGTTAAGCAGTAATTGTAACGTAAAATTAGAATCCAGGCAGCTCATTTTTCACAGCGAACGCCCGAATCGCCTCCTCCAGGATGGTCTCGCGCTCCTCATTCTTTGGCTGCACCAAATTACTTTTCTGCATTAAAATAAATACAAAATCAGTTTCAAAATGGTTAATATTTAAAATTTGATATTTTAATTTAGAAATACGCCAAAAAACACTTACCCCAAAGCCATGAAACTCCACCCTTGAAAATTGCTGTTTCGGTGGCAAAAATAGGAATGGCTTCGGCATATTAATCTTTGTAGGAGAACCAGTGTTAACGTCAAACCGGTGGAAAACGACTGATTTCTGTCCTACATTAAATATTCCACCAGATCACAAGTTAATACATTTAGTTACTTATTTGACTTTATTAATTATGGCAAGTTAATTTAAATTACCCCTCCACGCCCTTATCCCACTAAGCACTGCCTCCACAACGTTCATATTCTCGGCGTAGGTGACTTCGACATGTGCACGGACCAAGTCCTTCCAGCCTTCAAAAATTTTCAGGACATCCCTTAACAGAATCTTCCTTTCATATAACTTAACGTTCTTAACCATCTCCAATTCCAGGTTAAGTTTCTTGACGGAAGGAAATGATGCTAAAATTCTAGAAATGTCTCCTTTATCCGAAATTTTCAAAAAGTTTAAGCCTTTCAAGTGCAGCGATTCTATATTCGGATATTGATCTCCTAGCGTCATATTTCTCGTCCGCCACGAACCATCCAGCAGCAATCCGAGATGTTTCAGGTTTGGAAATATGTCACGCTGTAAAAAACTGGGCAGTACGTTTGAAAAGGGGGCGTGAAGCGTGGTCAAATTTGGCATGAGAGGGAGATTGACCTGCAAAAATTATAAGAAATTCTGGTAATAATTACGCTGTAAAATTATACGAAATTAGCATGTATATTTCTTACTATTCCACTTGCTATCTTTAATTGTGAAGATAACAGTAATTCCTGCAGAGATGTTTTTATCGGTTCCAAGATTTCAAATGGAATATTTATTGTTCCTTCCTTCAACGCCACGAACTCAAAGATTTTGATGTTTGGACAATTTTCCAAGCTTGTGTTCAGTCCTGGAGGCATAGTCACGAATTCCAGCTTGGGGGCCGAGTTGAGGATTAATTGTTGAATGGGAGCAATACGTCGCAGCAGGGCAACATTGTAAAGGGTGTATTTTAAGATGAATGACTTCAAGGAGGGCAGTTGCACGGAGGGGTTGGTGCAATCAAGTACCTCTTGTCGCCGAGAGTTTAAGTCAATCGTGACGGAGAGACAGTTTAGATTGATAAAATTGTCCAGGAAACGGGGCAGGTTGGAGAAGAAGTTGACGTCGACAGTGAGCACCATTTCCTCTACGACTTGCTGAATCGGTGCGACAAATTTGGGAAAGTTTTCGGACAGCGCATGGTCCACGAGACCTAGTGACCCAGGGCAGGAACATTCCCCCATGACAATGACCCTTTTGGCGAGATTAGTGTCGTATTCTGGTGGCACGGCGTCGGAAAGGTCACAGCAAGTCCACATCTTTTTCAAGTTGACAACAGTGATAACTCCCCTTATCGCCAAGGCATGGACTCCGGCTTTATTCCATTCTTTACAAACTTGTCTGGTTGATTTCAGGTCGGGAAGGTCGAAGCAGGCGAAAATTGCGTCGAGCACCTGACGAGGGTGAAGAAATTGAGTGTTATGGGATATATTTTTGTATATAAATTACGGGAACTTAATTAGTAATTACCACAGTGTTCATTAATGCCCTCGTCATCACGTCGACATCTCTATCCAGGTCGACATTTTCTCCATTCACGTCGACATTTTCTCCATTCACGTCGACATTTTCTCCATTCACGTCCACATTTTCTCCATTCACGTCGACATTTTCTCCATTCACGTCGACATTTTCTCCATTCACGTCGACGTTTTCTCCATTCACGTCGACATTTTCTCCATTCACGTCGACATTTCCTCCATTCACGTCGACATTTCCTCCATTCACGTCGACATTTCCTCCATTCACGTCGACATTTCCTCCATTCACGTCGACATTTCCTCCATTAATGTCCCGATCCACGTCGCCGGCTTCCTCATCCAGATCGGATGTTTCGTCGTCCGAAGTGTAGGAACCTGTGAAAAGTGAAAGTTATGATTTGTATCTGTACTGACATGTAATTAATTTTGAATATAAAAAATCAAAATATTTCGTATCGTTTTAAAAACAGAATAAAATTATTTTCTAAAATATCGTGCTTGTGTAAATATTCATGTACTTACTATCACTTGGTAACCACCACTCATCCTCAGACATATTATTAATTAAATTTAAATGATAATGCTTAATTCACGGATGAAACTACGTATTTAACTCCGTCACATAAATAACATGGCCCGACCAGTTGGGCTGCTCGTTAAAAAATAATGATGATGCAATCTCAGCATGAGAGAACACTTGGCCGACAGTCGTCGCGTCGCTTATCAATCTGACTATCGATTTCACATGCAACGATTAGCATGCCGACATAAAAATATGTCGGCATGCTAATCGTAAAAGTTATCTTATCTATTAATGCGTCATAGTTATAGTTACTAATTACCTTGGTGTCAAATTGTGACGATATTTAAAGTTTACGGTGATTCGATGCGAAAAAATGACAGCACACAAATGAGATGGATAGATTTAATTAGTGATATAATTTCGTCCTTTAATAAAAACCGAAGATTATAAAACACCGAGATTTAATCCACATTAAAGCAGTAGTAGCACCTACAAAAAGTGGAGCAAAAAGTGGTAAAAGTCGAATCTGTGCAGAAAAACACGCAAAAACTAGTATGACATCATGATAAGGCAGCTTTATCAATCTTTGCTTTGCTTACCTCTCTGGCAGGGTAATAGCGTCATCAACAATCGTTCCAGCGTCGGGATTCTCAAACCGGCAGGGACTAGGATTCGCAAAGATTCGCGTGTTGATCTTCTTCGTTACGACGATGAATGTGAACTTGGGGAGAGGTCGCCCAGCAGATGTGTAAACTAGCTCCATCGCGTTCTATAATTATTAATTAATTATTAATTGCTATTCAAAAAGATAGATAAAACATGAATATATTTAACAAATAGCGAACCCGAATCTGCCTAATTTCCGTTTCAAACACGAAATTCAACTGCCCTTCACCCACTCCGTCGCGATACATGATGATCCTGTCGGGCAGAGCTTTGTTTACACTGTTGAAAGCGTGCAGACACTCTGAGGAGAGGAAAAAGTGGACAATTTTCGAAAAAATATCAGAAATATAAATTTTGTGACAAAAAACAGCCCAGAATTAGACTCGTAATGTCGCCACACAGATTGGAAGACAATTCCTCCTTGCTGTTGTGAAAGCTGACCGTGCTGAAATATTTCGCCTGCGTTTCGCTCGTCGTTGCCACCATAGCGCCCACACTGGCCCCCTTCCGCTTGCCGCCGTGGTAAACGTCAAAGCCGACAATCATTAATCTCTGAAAATAAGGAGGTCAGAGGTCATTCGGTGGTCCGCCAAGTCAAAGAAAAACTCACCTTCAACGGGATCTGCACGAACCACGGCTCTCCTCCCAACTTGGCGTTAATCTGCACCACTACAACCTCTCGGATTGGCAGCATTCTTAGCGACGAAACATTGCGACGGGACTAAAAAAGTATGTGATTAGCTAATTTTTTATAAATTAATTGCTGTATTAAAGTCACTCACTCCCAAAGTCGACGGCGCAGCGTTTCTTTACGGCGGCGTAAATGTCCGTGACTTGTCGGGGGAGGACGATGAAGAGCAGCTGGAGTTTCCCCTTCTGGTTAGCCATGGCTTTGTCGATAGCTGCCAAGTAAGTGGGGATGCGAATGTCGGGAATTCGTATCCTGCAACAAATGATAAGCAAATAGCGGTAAATAATTTAAGATACCTTATCTCACATAACTCGCCGAAATCTTACACTTCTCTCGGATTGGCCAGCCTGAATCGAATGGGCGCTCCGACTCGCTGCATTCTTGTAATGAGTTCATCAATCGGTTGAGCATTTCGCTGGGGCACGATGACCGCCCAGTAATTGAGAGGGACGGTGGACGCCATTTCGTGATCTGGAAAACATAAATTTTATCTTTCTCTTCTAAATGACATTTAAAAGAAAAATATAAAATCTCACTTCTAAACGCAGAGTTCCAGTCCGCCCTGTCCCCCACTGTTTCAAATTGATTCAGCCCAAACATGACTCGTTCTCTGTCCGCGACGCGACCCTGCACGCGGACGAGGTCACTGTCGAACTTCAGCCCCCACCGACTCAGTTCTTCGTCCACCTAGGAAAAAATTCAAAATCAGAAAAATCACATGAAAAAAATTCAATTTTTGCGCAAAAAATGAAAAATCTCTCACCCCCGGAGCTCGCTTCAACCTCGCCATAAACTTCCTCACCGCATCCACCCTCCGCTCCGGACTGACGTGCAAATACCCCGTGAGAGACTTCATCAATTGGAAGTTGGACCGCATCTCATCCGTGAGTCCGGTCATTTGACAAAATTCCGGGATGAGGAGCACCGACCCAATTTGCCCCCTGTGGTAATCCCTCTTCTTCGGACGGGACACCAGCATCGGTTGCCGCATGTCGGTGCAGACAAGTCCATACTTTTGAGCAAAATAGTCAACAAATGTGACAGTTCCGCCAACTCCGGCACTTCCGGCAGCCCCTTTCATGTCAAAGGTTGACATGGGGCTGTTATCCCAGTCGATGTCGTCGACGCGGTATGTTTTTCTGTTATAGTGCGTCATCACGACGGCGCCCACTAATTCTTCCTTGATGACGTGCTGTAAAATAATTATTAAATTAAAACAAGCATCACTTAAAGTTTAATTATTAACTAGTGATAACCACTCACTTGATAATTCTGCTCTCCCCTCAACCGGGTCATGACGTGTAAACAGTTATCCGTCCTGAGGACCTTGTGCGTAATTTCCACCCCGAGCAACACACCGCGCTCATGATTTCGCATCGACGTCTTATACCCAGGCCAGAGCTCGAGCCGATGCGCCTCGATCTTGATGGCCTGATGCCGATCGTAAAAGTGGCGACCGAGTTCCTCCAACTCCATGAATTCGAGACATTTGCGAACGATGATGTTGTAAATTTGCAAATATACGACGTCCGTAGGATCCAAGGAGGCGACGAGGCGGACGGAAAGTTCCACCATCGTTCCGTTGACGTGTAACGAGGAGAGAATGAGGGGCTGGAAATGATTAAGAAGATTGATACCAATTTATGCGCTAATTTAATAATAATTACACCAGTAAACATTTTAATTAATTGACTCACCTCTGGCGAAAGTCTGTGTGACAAGTATAGAGAGCTCCCGTCGAAAATATACGCCCCGAGAACGGTTTGATGGGCTCGGAGGAGAGTCTTCTTAACCCGCGTGTTCCTCTCTTCGGGGAGAAAGTCGACGTGATAATGGTAAATCGCCCAGTCAGTCCTCTTCTGGAGGACGAAGTAGTTCGCTAAAAGGTTCACCTGTCTGCCAGTGCTGCCCTGCTTCTTCAACTTGTCCCCGTGCTGGTCTATGCCGCGAGAGATGACGAGATCGTGCTGCTCGATACGCTCGAGTTTGCGCTGCTCTGGCGTTTGACGAGTTCGACCGCCGCGACCAGAGCGGACGCCACGTCCACCACGTCCTCCGCCACGATCATCGCCGCCACCAGCACCACCATCTTCGCCACCACCAGAGACGACACCACCTCCTTCTTCTTCAGGTGGCGTATCGGGGGCGACTATGTTCTCTGACTCTGTCCCGTCCCCTGGGACGATCCCTTTCTTCTGGGGAGCGATCATCTCTGTGTCGACCACTGGAATGACGGCGTTTTTCTTCTGAAGGGCGATCGTCTCGGTGTCGACGACTGGAATGACCACGATTTTCTTCTGGAGAGTGATCATCTCTATGTCGACCCCTGGAACGGTCTCGCTCCCTGTCTCCTCCTCGTCCAGAATGACTCATGTTTGTCTCAACTAAAAGAAAAAAGGGGGGAGGAGGGGGTATTAGAACAAAATATGCATTTCTTGACCACGGTCAAGAGTAGAAAGTGCCAAAATTACCAAAAAATTAGTAAACAATGCAACTGTTGGTAAGTACGTATTGCATTATTATTGAAGTAATTAAACTGGAAAAAACAATAATGACAAGATTAATAGTATTCACTTACCTTATTTTTAACCAGTCGGACACAGATTACACGTTAATGGAATTAAATTTTGGTGGAATTAATTAAATTTCGATTTTTACTAAACCCAGATGATGTTCTTCCTGTAAAAAATGCTGCTGGTAGGTTTGAGCTGCCCGGCGAGTACTACTTACCGTGTACCGTCCAAATTCGTACCGCTCGTCGCCTACCTGCTACTTCTTACCGCTGAAAGATCTACAGAATTAATGTAAATTTTTTTATCGCTTTCAGATTAAATCGAAAATCTTTTGGGGATAAGATTCTTGGAGAAGTAGGATTTGGAATTTCTACGTACTAATATTCCGTACATATAATAATAGTTGAGAATCAAAAGAATTCATCAAATTAGTTTTTCCATTATAATTAAAAAGAATTAATTTAACGGGGTTTTAAATGGTTACAGTCTGATGAAAATTTACACTTTCTAACTGGCATAATTTCTCAAATTATTCTACCAGATAAGTTTACCAGCATAACTATAGTTTTCATGCACTTATTTCACATTTTAACATAAAAACTAAATTGACTTAATATTTGTGTGATCGTTAAAAATAGTATTGAAGTCATTAACTAGCTAATTCTTGCGTAATTTTATATTTTAAAATTGTGTAATAATGTTAAATCAATTAATTAATTAAGATTAATTATTAAATTTTATGTTTAAACAATGAAACACCATGTTACATTTTTATGTTTTTATTTATCACAATAAAATTACTAATTTTATTTTATTTATCCAAGTTCTAATTTTAAATTAGAACTTGGATTAGTTAAACAATAAATAAAGCAGCTAATTTTAAATGTCTAGTAAAAAATAAATAACAGAAATTGACTTTATTTCAGCATTAAAAATAAGTCCAATCTAGTTTAATCCCAACACAACGGTCATCGTATTATCTAACCAAGCCGCGAACATATGAAGCAGTGTCACCCGCCCAATAATCCCAACCCCGCTGCATTCCATTCCAATCGTTTTCATCGCTCTGGCCAACCGGACATGCCGCTTAACGCCCCCTTCTCGAAATTCTCCACGTCCCCACTCATCCACAAACTGTACCGACACGATATTCAATTTTGCCGCGAATGGACAAATTAACCCCATAACGAAAATCATAATACTCGAACAGATAATGAATATCAGGTAGACGAAGATGTCAACCTTGCCGTAGTACTTGATCGCGACGGACATTGAAACAACGAAAATTCCAGACCCTAACCCTGTCGCGATTGAAACGGTCCATCGAGCGATTTTGTTAACTCTACAGACTAAGATTGAAATTGCCGCGTAGTCCGCACGGGCTGCGGCGGGATGTCCGGATCGATTCTTGACACAATTTGCCGTGACACAGTCTGTCGCCAAGGCGATAAATTCGAAGGCATACAGTACTATGGAGATTGCGCCAATGAGCATGTGGTAGTTCAATGTGAGGGTTAACACGCAGCGTGACAATTTTCCAAGGCATGTCACCTCCCAGCTGGACGTGAGAAGAAGGATTTGAAAATAGTAGTACCCGCCATCCAGCTTTGGTCCAAAGAAACAGCTCAGACCAAGTAGGGTGTATTGGGCAAATAGTATGTAGAAACCGGACTGCAGGTGCAACGTCCATACTTTGCTGCGTAGCTGTGACCATTCCTTCATGCCGGTAGAAATCATTGTTGCCCGTCCTGAGAAAAAATGTCATTATAGTCTTACACTAATACAAGAGAGGTGTTGATATAAAATTTTAAAAACTGAAATTCTCTGAATTTTGAGAATACTGCAGAAAATATCGAGATATTTCTCAACAGCTGATTTTCTTCGGAGTATCAGCTAGAACACTACATTGTGAATAAGCTTACTTAATTTTTTTAATTCTCGACAAATCCAGTTGAGCTGGAGCCAGTCGTTGTAGAGGATTATGTCATAGCAGATATTCGATACAGCTTCAAACCCGACAACCAACTGGATAAAGAGGGACACAAAACTTATGACAAGACGCCCATCCCATGCGTACTTAAGGATGACACCTAATCCCAGTACGCAGGCAACGTTGAGAATCGAAATAACCAAGAAAGGAAGGAAGATATATCTGCCTTTTTTGTTCGGCTTTACCGGAACACCGAAAACGGGTGGGAATTTGTAAATCACGGAAATCTTTGCGAGGGTTCCTTCCACTAATTTGCAAGCGCTTTCCATCTTTGTTCAGTAATCTTAGCGTTATTTTCTGAGCAATTTTTCTCCTAATATAATAATGCAGATTTCACATTATTCCCTTAAATATTTTGAGAACGAGAGCCAGATTTTTAGTTCTTAGTTGAAATGTGCACTTTCAAAGGAATACAAAGCGGTTTGGCTGTATGTATTTAATTTTTGTCCATCGCTAAGGTTTTAACGATCTAGGTAGAGGGGATGACATTGAAAAAATTGCATTCTTGGTTAAGAATTTATCAAAAAAATCGATTTGCAAGCTTGCAATTAATCACGCGCATATCCATATCTTGGTTTAATTACTTTAAATATTTATAAACGAAATATGCATTGGCTTCGTTCCTTACCTGGTTTATTTATAGGGTTAAGAATCTTAAATTCATAATACTGTCAGACTTTTTTCCCTCGATATGAAAACTCTTTTATATCAAAAAGTTCTGGAAGGCTTGCCAACATTTGTAAGATTTATAAAACAATAATGACGTGCATGAAACATTCATTTCTTTTTTAATAGCTTTTGGTTAGGTTAGTAGTTAGTTATGACGAAAGTCTGAATTTTACTGTTGGTGAAAACTTTCTTAGAAACATTAATAAGAAGGTTGTTCTATAAAACATGTTGTCTTAACTTTTTCCATATGCTAGAATTTGATGAAATAAATGATTGCTAAATACTTCCGTTTATATCGACAAATAATACAAATCATAACTGGCGTGGATATGAAGTACAAAAATAAATTTATTCTCTTCAGATTAACATTAGGCTTACAGTGTAGGTCAACTGTATTGTGTAAGCATAATTCATTGCTGTTGCTTTATTTCGTCTAAGTGAACACACATACAAAAATATTGCAATTCCAATGTGTTTATAGAAATATTGAGTAAAGTCTAAATATTTAGTTGATCATGAAATTTAAAAAAATTATTAAATTAATAAGTACATCATCAGGTTTAATTGAACAAGATTATGTTTGTGCGCACAACTTCGATACATATTCACCGAGATGCATCAATACATATTATGCCATAAAGATAAGCTCATATTGCATATTTTCATTCTATTGTTAAATGTAACTCATTTATTTGCTTATCTAATCAAATTAGATTAATCCTTCACATCCTGTCTCCACAATATGAAGTCAGAGGAATAGGTAATTATTGATATGTAATTGAGTAAGTGTTGATGACGTCAGGTGGTGGAAAACTCGACTTATCTATCTTTAGCAATTAATGGGGCCGTACTTTAATATTTTGATGTAAATGTATCCATATAAGAATTGGCTGCAAACTTTGATTTGAACCACCCGTACACTGTTTCACATGACATGCAGTGAGTCTCTCATGGGAGCCACTTGGCCGCCGGCCGTCAGGTGTGGTACTGCTCTTCGGCAGACAAAAGCAGGCGGCCAACTCGCTGCCCCGCATACTGTCTCACCCTCTACTCTATCTCTCACGATGGACCATTTAGCCACCTGCCGTCAGGTAGTCTACTGCTATTTGGCAGTCTACTCGCTGACGGCTGGCGACTATGGATGATCATCTCTCCACTCCCCGTCTCCCCACTAAACTCAAACCGACACGCATTGCCACATTTCCAAGCATTGCAGCAGCAGCAATTCTCCTCCTCCTGCTCTCATCACTTTAAAAGTAAGTGGGGGTGGTAATTATTAATTACTTAATGGTTGGCATGGCAACCAGTGCGTTTATTGATTGTCATGCCAACCCTTTTATTTATATTTTTTTGTAGGGCACGACGACAATCATCACCACTGCCACCACACAGCCGCAGCAATTCTCCTCCTCCTCCTCCTGCTCTCATCATTTAAAAGTAAGTGGGGGTGGTAATTATTAATTACTTAATGGTTGGCATGGCAACCAGTGCGTTTATTGGTTGTCATGCCAACCCTTTTATTTATATTTTTTTGTAGGGCACGACGACAATCATCACCACTGCCACCACACAGCCGCAGCAATTCTCCTCCTCCTCCTCCTGCTCTCATCACTTTAAAAGTAAGTGGGGGTGGTAATTATTAATTACTTAATGGTTGGCATGGCAACCAGTGCGTTTATTGGTTGTCATGCCAACCCTTTTATTTATATTTTTTTGTAGGGCAGGGCAACGACGACGATCATCCTCCTCACCACTGGCATCACACAGCAGCAGCATTTCTGCTCCACCTCCTCCTCCAGCTCTCCTCATCACTTTAAAAGTAAGTGGGGGTGGTAATTATTAATTACTTAAAGGTTGGCATGGCAATAAGTACGTTTATTGGTTGTCATGCCAACCCTTTTATTTATATTTTTTTTGTAGGGCACGACGACAATCATCACCACTGCCACCACACAGCCGCAGCAATTCTCCTCCTCCTCCTCCTGCTCTCATCACTTTAAAAGTAAGTGGGGGTGGTAATTATTAATTACTTAATGGTTGGCATGGCAACCAGTACGTTTATTGGTTGTCATGCCAACCCTTTTATTTAGATTTTATGTGTAGGGCAGGGCAACGACGACAATCATCACCATCACCACTGCCGCCACACAGCAGCAAATTTCCTCCTCCTCCTGCTCTCATCACTTTAAAGTAAGTGGGGATGGTAATTATTAATTACTTAATGGTTGGCATGGCAACCAGTACGTTTATTGGTTGTCATGCCAACCCTTTTATTTATATTTTTTGTAGGGCAACGACGACAATCATCACCATCACCACTGCCGCCACACAGCAGCAAATTTCCTCCTCCTCCAGCTCTCCTAATCAATTAAAGAGTAAGTGGGGGTGGCAATTACTAATTAATTAATGGTTCGCATGGCAATCAATACGTTTATTGATTGTCATGCCAACCCCTTTATTAAATTTTTTTTGTAGGGCAGGGCAACGAAGATCATCCTCATCACCACTGCCAGCCACAACCCAGCAGCAGCACCCACTGCATACACCACACCCACTACATACATACATCACACCCACTACATACATACATCACACCCACTACATACATACACCACACCCACTACATACATACATCACACCCACTACATACATACATCACACCCACTACATACATATATACATCATCCACACACATTATATACATACCCTTCGGGGAATTTAGCCCTTCGGGGATTTTAACCCTTCGGGGAATTTAACCCTTCGGGGATTTTAACCCTTCGGGGATTTTAACCCTTCGGGGGATTTAACCCTTCGGGGGAATTTAACCCTTCGGGGAATTTAACCGTTCGGGGGATTTTAACCCTTCGGGGATTTTAACCCTTCGGGGATTTTAACCCTTCGGGGGATTTAACCCTTCGGGGGAATTTAACCCTTCGGGGAATTTAACCGTTCGGGGGATTTTAACCATTCGGGGATTTAACCTTTCGGGGAATTTAACCGTTCGGGGGATTTTAACCCTTCGGGGGATTTAACCCTTCGGGGAATTTAACCGTTCGGGGGATTTTAACCCTTCGGGGATTTAACCCTTCGGGGAATTTAACCGTTCGGGGGATTTTAACCCTTCGGGGATTTAACCCTTCGGGGAATTTAACCGTTCGGGGGATTTTAACCCTTCGGGGGAATTTAACCCTTCGGGGAATTTAACCGTTCGGGGGATTTTAACCCTTCGGGGGATTTAACCCTTCGGGGAATTTAACCGTTCGGGGGATTTTAACCCTTCGGGATTTAACCCTTCGGGGGATTTAACCCTTCGGGGATTTTAACCCTTCGGGGATTTTAACCCTTCGGGGATTTAACCGTTCGGGGAATTTAACCCTTCGGGGAATTTAACCGTTCGGGGGATTTTAACCCTTCGGGATTTAACCCTTCGGGGATTTAACCCTTCGGGATTTAACCTTCGGGGATTTTAACCCTTCGGGGATTTAACCCTTCGGGGGATTTAACCCTTCGGGGATTTTAACCCTTCGGGGATTTTAACCCTTCGGGGGATTTAACCCTTCGGGGAATTTAACCCTTCGGGGAATTTAACCGTTCGGGGATTTTAACCCTTCGGGGATTTAACCCTTCGGGGATTTAACCCTTCGGGGGATTTAACCCTTCGGGGGAATTTAACCCTTCGGGGAATTTAACCGTTCGGGGGAATTTAACCCTTCGGGGAATTTAACCCTTCGGGGATTTAACCTTTCGGGGAATTTAACCGTTCGGGGAATTTTAACCCTTCGGGGGATTTAACCCTTCGGGGAATTTAACCGTTCGGGGGATTTTAACCCTTCGGGGATTTAACCCTTCGGGGAATTTAACCCTTCGGGGATTTTAACCCTTCGGGGATTTAACCCTTCGGGGGAATTTAACCCTTCGGGGAATTTAACCGTTCGGGGGATTTTAACCCTTCGGGGATTTAACCTTTCGGGGAATTTAAGCATTTGAGGAAAATAGCCTAAAGTGGCACAAACCTTTTTGGCAAAATAATTATTAACTTAAACTGAAATCAAGCTAACCATTATAATGGTTCGACAGAAGCAGTTGTTTGTTGTTCGAGAAGAACAAACTGTTACCATCTCAGATTCTGAGCCTGAACCAGAACCAAAGAGATTTAGACTGCCGGGTGAAACGGAAGCCGGGTCTTCCAATAGACATGCTGGAGATCCTCAAGGAACAACCATAAGCCGACTAATGCAAACCGAAGAGCAAGTGTCAATTCGACATATAACAGAGGCACGAAGATTTGCTCAAAACCGACAAAATGAGACACCTGAACAGCGTAATGTAAGACTGGAAAGGGAACGGATAAACCGAGCTAATGTGGCATATAGGCGATTACAGGAAACAGCTCACGCTGCTGTCGTTGAGAGTCCAGACGAAGATACCGTAGTTCTGCATAATTTAGGTAACATGAATGTGTCATGCGAATTTTGCAATGCAATAAATTTTTTACAAGAACGACCTGTGGATAAAAAATTTACAGTTTGCTGTAATAAAGGAAAATTACGAATACCAAATTTTGAGAAAAATGAAAAACTCTTAACTGGAAAAGATCCTGATTCTAAGAATTTCATGGATAACATAAGGTCATACAATAGTGCATTTGCATTTGCATCAGTTGGAGCAAAAATTGCATCTCCTCCTGGATATGGTCCATACTGTTTCAGAATTCATGGTCAAATTTACCACAGAGCTGGAACATTACACCCTGAAGAGGGAGAACCACGAGTATACGCACAATTATATATCTTAGACCCTGACGAGGCCAATAATCGTAGGCTTAATGAACCAGCTAACTCTGCATGTAGAAATCATGTAATGGCAAATTTGTTGGATATTATGAAGGACAACCCTTTTGCTATGGCATACAAAATGTTGCATGAATTCGAGAAAGATGAGAATGCTCGAGCCATACGTGAAGGCCATGCAGTTAGCGAAGCTACTATGGCCATTGTCCAAGACCGGAATCTTGATCAACGCCGATACAATGCGCAAGCATGTAATGAAGTTGCAATTATCTTCAGCAACCTTGACGGGGAGCCCCCTTTTGAACGGGATTTATTAATCCATTTGAGACCTAATGGTGAAAATTCACCAAAAACAAAAAGAATCAGCATTTTGAATAAAAATCTTGATGCTTTAACGTACCCAATCCTTTATCCAAAAGGTGAACAAGGTTGGGGAGAAGACTTGGCACTATTTATTCCAAATCAAACAAATCCTAATGCACATAAAAGGGTAACCTTAAAAATGTACTACTCTTACTTATTCTCAATTCGAGAGACATTTAGCCCAATTCTAAGTGCTGGAAAGCTTACACAGCAGTATTTTGTTGATGCTTATGTAAAAGCTGAAGCCAACGATTTAAATTTTGTTAGGCAAAATCAGAAGCAGTTGAGAGCTGATGATTACGAGTCTTTAGTTGACCATGTAGGATCAGCAGCAGAGCAAGAAGGAATAGTTCCTGGGAAACGAACGATTCTCCCTTCAACCTTTCAAGCTAGCACAAGAAATATGACTCAAAATTATCAAGACGCAATGTCAATGGTACGGAAATTTGGAAAACCAGATTTGTTTATTACAATGACATGTAATCCAAAATGGGTAGAGATTACTGAAAATTTAAAGCACGGTCAAAAACCTGAAAATAGACCAGATTTGGTTTCACGAGTATTCAATCTTAAATTGAAATCACTTCTTGATGATTTACTTAAAAAGGATGTTCTCGGACATATCCAGGCAAAAATTCATGTTATTGAATTTCAAAAGAGAGGCTTGCCTCATGCACACATTTTAGTAATTCTTAATGAAGTGGATAAGCCAAAAACCACAGCTCTTATTGATAAGATTGTTTGCGCAGAAATACCAAATAAGGATACTCATCCAAGATTATTTGATATCGTTACAAAAAACATGATTCATGGACCGTGTGATAAACCCAACTCCAGGTCACCCTGTAAAACCTTAAAAGGCACATGTGAAAAAGAATTTCCTAAGCAATTTCAGGAAGAAACATTTGCAAATTGCAACGGGTATCCTTTATACCGGAGGCGTAGTAAACCCCCAGTTATGACTGATAAAAATATTGAAATTGACAATAGATGGGTAGTGCCATATAACCCATACTTGAGTTTAAAGTATAATTGTCATATTAACGTTGAAGTTTGCGCATCTATTCGAAGCGTTAAATATTTGTTCAAATATGCTTATAAGGGACATGATTGTGCATTGGTTGAACTACAACTAGATGAAATAAAAACACATGTAGACTCAAGATATGTTAGTCCTCCTGAGGCAGCTTGGAGAATTTTTCGACTGCCAATGCAGGACAAAACGCATTCAATAACTAGGTTGAAAGTTGATTTACCAGGTACAAAGCGAGTAACTTTTGATCCAAGTAGAATTCAAGAAGCTATTGACAGAGCAGAAAGTACTGACACTACTTTAACGGCATATTTTAAGCTTAATTGCGAAGACCCTGAAGCAAGGAAATACAAATATTCTGAAATTCCAGAATACTATGTATTTAATAGAACAAACTCTTGGGTGAGACGTAAGGATGGACATAATAATAAGGTGATTGGGCGATTGTATTCAGCAAATATGAAACAAAATAGCGAAAGATATTTTTTGCGACTTCTGCTTCTTCATGTTGCAGGACCCACTAAATATGATGATTTACTGGAATATCAGGGGCATGCACATGCCACATTTTATGAGGCTGCAAAGGCCAGAGGTTTAGTTTCCGATGAAACCGTATGGAATGACACATTAAATGATGCAGCTTATGCTGCAATGCCGAGGCAACTTCGCGAGTTATTTGCTTATATATGCGTATTCGGTGAATCGCCTGATATGTCCAGTTTGTGGGCTGCACACAAAGAAAGCTTGACTGAAGACTTTGCAAGAGTTCATGGACATACATCCAATGAAGATTGTGAAATGTGTGAATCATATGCACTTAGAGATATCTCAGAAACACTGATTACCCATGGTAAAAAATGTTCGAATTACAATTTAAGGGATCCTCCGAGAGATTTACCTTTAAACTTGAACGATTTTGTAAATATTGAAGTCGAGCGTGACCTCGGGGAAAATCTCAAATCAACATTGAATAAAGAACAGCTTCAGGCATTTGAAAAAATTGAAACTGCAATGAATTCCTCAGATGGGACTGAGAAATGTTTTTTCCTTGACGGTCCTGGAGGGAGCGGAAAAACTTATTTGTATAAAACATTTTTGAGCCATGTTAGAGGACAAGGTGAGACAGCTTTACCTGTTGCATCGACAGGTATAGCTGCCAATTTACTGAAAGGGGGTCGAACTTATCACTCCCAATACAAGGTACCTATAAACTTGAATGAAACATCTGTCTCTGGAATAGAGATGACTTCTAAAGATGCAAAAGTCATTCGAGATGCAAAATTATTAATTTGGGATGAAGCCACTATGGCGTCAGCTAATGCATTACATTGCATCGACAGATTGTTGAAAGAAATAATGAAGAGCGATCTTGCATTTGGAGGAAAAGTTTTACTTCTTGGAGGTGACTTTAGGCAAACTTTGCCAATAATACCGCATGCAGATGCAGTGGCAATTGTACAGGCAAGCATCAAATTTAGCCATCTGTGGAGAAAATTTCAGGTTTTAAAACTTGACAGTAATGTCAGATCCACTGATATTGAATATAGCGAATGGCTAATGAAACTTGGTGATGGAGAATTAACTAATGAACATTCACTTGGTGAAAATATAATAGAAATTCCAGAATCAATGTTGGCCTCGGAAAACATTGTAAAGGATATTTTTGGAGATTGTTTAACTCCTGAAAATGTTGAACAATTTTGTAACAGGGCAATTTTATGTCCCACAAACGCAGAGGTGGATAAAATAAATAATCAAGTTTTGCAGATTCTACAAGGTGAATGCAAGACCTATCTAAGTACAGATTCAATTGTAACTGATGAAGACTCTAGCAGAGATGATTATCCTGTAGAATTTTTGAACACCTTGAATCCGTCTGGGTCGTCACCTCATGAATTAAAACTAAAAGTTGGAGCATTAATTATGCTATTAAGAAATCTTAACACTAAGCGTGGGCTATGCAATGGTACACGATTAGTAGTTACAGAATTAAAGCCAAACTTGATTATTGCAAAAGTCCTTACTGGATCTGCTGAAGGAAACTTAGTTTTCATACCCAGAATTGACCTTATAACCGACTCTGACCTTCCATTTCACTTAAAAAGAAGACAGTTTCCTGTTAAATTAGCATTTGCAATGACAATAAATAAATCTCAAGGGCAGACATTAGATAAAGTGGGAATTTATCTCGCAAGCCCTGTATTTGGTCATGGGCAACTATATGTCGCATTTTCAAGAGTTAGACGATCAATTGACGTGAGAGTCCATGTCACTAATACATGTGAACAAGGTAATTTATTGCCTAATTCTAACAAAGTGTTTACAAGGAATGTTGTGTATAAAGACGTACTCCAAAGATAATATGCAAAATAAAAATGCGGCGGGCAATGATTGTAAGACTGAGCCCGCTGCACCAAAAAAACACCATCCAATAAGGATCATGTTTTATTTTTTCAGGGACAAACACTTCCACTACATTATTATATAGATTTCTAGGTGCCCGCTAGACGGGCACTAAAGACTAGTTGTTTTATAAATTCATAATAAAGAGTATAAACTAACCACCAATTATTTAGAAAAAGATTGAACACAGTAATCAGGTGTCGAGTATGTTTGGAAAGCACTATAAAAATTGTTTGGGATACGGAGGAAATTTCACTACTTTTTGCTAAAATTCATTCACATTCTTGATGTATCGATGTCCCGGATCTACTACTGAAGCATCATTCAAGTGATAAACCTATAAAACTGGATTATATTCAGTATTTCGAAAGAACACTATCTGTATAATTGGAATTTCTAGAAAACTTCAATTGGGTCTGGGTGTCGGGGCTCTTATTCTACTAGTTGTAATTCTTATTTGGATACGGGAATGTATCAGGGCTTGCATTGACAAGTGCTTCAATTTACTCTTGGACAGTCTTTGTCCTAGCTGTTGTGACGATGATGCTGACGACGACTCCGTATAGATCTTGTGAAGCGATATTTAACAATTAATTATTATGAGTCAAGAATAAAGTGTTATACTAGCACCGACTATGTAATAATTATCTATTAACTCGGTTTTAAGGCAATTGCAAGCGATTTAGAAAAGTTTTAATAAATTACAGTTTTCATTTTGGTATGAATTGTACAAACATATGCGAAACACGATTCTGTAGTATGGACTTAACATAAAATAACCCAACCGGTTTTAATTGTTTTTGCATAAAATAATTAAATAATGTCAAAATGCATTTTGATTCGATTACATCATGATGTAATCGATTCAAATTAGGGATGACATTATCAAAGGAGGTTATATTTTAAACTTATATAGAAACAATTTCAAGTATTCTTGAAATTATACATTGCATGGTTCGACCATAATTGTCATTAATTGTGGCTGTCCAAATTGCATCTCTTTATTAACGTTACTCTTTTGCATACGCTTATCTTCCATGGAGATTCACATCATTGTTCGCATCTAACACGGGAGCAGAGCAGATCGAGAGGAAAATCGTGTGAACTTTACGATATGTACATATCAGAAATGGGAGACGAAATCTACACTGCGCAATATCTCGAAAGGTGGGAAGCTATTATTAAGGGGATATCAATTTGTGCAGTAAACCTGTTACCAACTGACATAAACCACTTATCAAAATCACCATAGCAACTAATCCTCTGCCAATATGCGGGGCAGGTAAGGTGGAAAAGGAACACACATGCACGAACTGCTTACGGTAATAAATAAACTCGCGCTTTCAAATTTTATTGTAAAATACTCTAAATTATCTAAAAAATTTATTATTGGGAGCGAAATTTGGCAAGCACTGCAACATAGTTCAGAGGTTTATTCTTTATTCTTTTTGTTGAAATTATACATATAGAATTTTTGTACAGCCACATGGTAAATTGATGCTCCTGTTCGCGACGTTTTGATCTGAAGTGTGGTTAACACGGCTGGGTTCAGGTGTGGTCTTGTGTGCAAATTTATTACGTTTTTGTCGAACATCTGTCAGTTGATTGTTCAAGTGGAGTGAACGTAGGAATGGTTATAATTTTTTTTGAATAATTGAAATGGCAAAGGTCGAGTAAAGTTCTTGGTGACAAATCTTTTGAAAAAAATCACGGCGATACTTAAAGGTATGCGGGAAACATTCTAAAATAAATATTTCATATCCTATTTTAGACAGAGATTTTCTAAAATTAATAGTTTCGTGTTTAACTCTTAACATATATATGTCTTAATTTTAGGATATATTCCGCCATCAATAACATCACGATGGATGGAGATGGAGGAAAACCTGGTAAATTTTTTGAAGAAATTATTGTTCTAAAATTTGCGTTAAAAAAACTTAATTTGAGTACTAAAACAATTTCAAGGATTCGGTCAGGATATTTCATTTCCACCACGGGCAACGCCACCACCACGACACGACTTGGAAGATCAATCGTCGGTCGTAGAATTCAGCATGGTGCAACCCTCAAGGAAGGTAAAGCAGGAGAGGAAAAGGGGAAGTTCCAAAGAACTTGATAAAAATGAAGAACAAAAGAAAAGAAGACTTTATGATGAAATCCAGACCCCTAGAAGGGAGACAGTCGCTATTGCACTTCACGAAAATAGTCTCCATAAAAATGTAAATCCGGAGTCAGCAAATAAGGCTTTAAAAATTGAAAATGGGGCTTTAAAAGTGGAAAATAAGGTTTTAAAAGAGAATGACTGCCAACAATCAGGTCAAATCTTAGACCTAATTCTAGAGAAAGCTAGACAAGAGAAAGAAATTCGTAAGTACGCCGAGCGGCTCGGTATTTCATTTGAAACTCTTATTGGGATGGGTACAGGGGGAACGGATGTCGAAATGGCACATTTCCGTCAGTGAGGATGAGGAAGTCTTCGTGTAATTAGTTTCTAGAGTAGAATAGATAATTTGTATTTTTAGTTTTATGTGGCCCTATTTTTAGCTTTGAAATGTTTTACGTAATTTTGGGTAGTTTTGACCACATAGATTTTGAACCTACCAGGAAAATGTTATGATACATTGAATTTTATGTATGAGGCATATATAATAGTCCAGTTGGTACAGTGCACGGTTTATAGGAATTTTAACAACACAGGTTCCGGATTATAACATCTAGCCGATATTTTTTAGGAATATAAAGTGAGTAGGCGATGATGCATTAAATCTTTAAACAGGGTATTGTACACTCTAAATAATCTGACAACATTTTTTTATTTCTTGCTAATGAAGATCGGATATGTCCAAATGTATACCTGTGGTAAATTTATACATAACACAGGCTAGTAATATATACAAAAATTGTTGCCAGATTATTTAGAGTGTAGAAAAACGGCAAACTTAAAACTTTAAAGTAAAGGTATCATATTAAATGAAATTTTAGTTACCCATTTGCAAAGTTAGCAAATGATGATTTTTAAGACTGGTTCCGGTTCAACTAAATTTTCGAAAAGCAAGTCAGCTTTATCTTCGCTATACCATTTATTAATAAAATCAAAAAAAAATCAAAATACTTTTCCTAATTAAAGAAAAACTAATTAAAGAAAAACTAAAAAAATAAGAAAAAAGTTAATTAAAGCTGTTAAATATTTCGCAATTATTTAGGTTTGCCTTCTTATAAAAACAATACGACAACCATGGATAATTCCAACCTTGCTAAAAATTAACACATACGTAGTTCAAATATTTATAATGCTAAATTTATGGTATTCATATGTACAAAGGTGAAAAATACGAAATTTGTGTACATATGTATGTATGTATGTACATACATATGTCGTTTTAAATTAAAAACAATAGCTGTAACCTTACCGACATATCAATGAAAATTTCGCCGAAACCTTGTCATTAAGTACGTTTCAATTTATTTGAATAAATGTAAATCAGACAATAGTATTTATTTTAATTAATTCTAAATGTATCGACATAAAATTAATGCACTTTCAATTGCTAAAAGTAATTAACGAGTCGCACTTTTCAGAACTATAATAACGTACAAATTTACATTTCAACAGTGGAGCTGTCATGGTAAACTGAATTAATTCAATTTGCAAATCCAAAAGTGCAAAAAATCACAAAAAACTTTTGGACTTTGGGAGTATCGATCTCCCTACCTCTCACATGCTAAGCGAGCGCTCTACCATTTGAGCTAAAAGCCCTGCGATATATTTCAAATTAACAATTGATAGCTTTATTACAACCTGATGGAAATTGGTATCTAGATAAGTACTTAAGAAGGGATAGACTGCCTGCTGAACTGACCTGTCTAAAAAGTAAATTGATCACTTTATAATCTTGGGCGAGGCAGTTGTTGTGCAGTGATTGAGTACACGAGAGAATGGGAAGCGTGATGATGCTGTAATAAAACTGGTTCAGTCTGTTATTATGCTTGTAGAGTTGAACGGGCCGACATAATTTCATGCATTTTGCATATAAATATGCATGTAGAAATGCATATCTTGCATGGATTTGCTTGCGATGGACATCCTCTTGCACTTATGCTTGTATGAAGATTAGGTAAAAATTAATGTACATATTCCAAATAAATGTTTACTTGTTTCAGAATCAATGGACACATAACATGTTTACATAGATATTTATGGAATAATTTTATCGTGTGTATTTAAATACAGTGTAATTATCAGTACACTGTTGCTTGATTGCTTTGGTTTTTAGTTAATTACTAAATTATCTATTATCTAATAAAGGCGAATCGATTGCTGATATACTTATTTTTGCTGTTTACCTAGTGAATATAAATTATCATTTTAAAAATGTCTTTATCATTCGATTCACCAGCGAGCATATGAGACTGCCCTTGGAGACATAGCTTTGGAAAAAAGTTTCCGTCATAAAAGTAAAACTTGCCACAAAAAGTACCACCCCACAGAGGATGAACAGCGTAGAAATTGCTCCATCTAATCCAAATGGTGTTGCCATCTCAGTTTTCAATTTCATGACAGGAGTTCGATGTAAACTTTTTTGATATATTTCCTCTTTTCGTAGCCGTCCATATATTCCTGTTTCAATGGCAGCCTTAAAATATTTGGGCAATTTCGATATCCCTCGGTCAGTAAATTGCCAACCGAAACTTATCTTTTCCAAGATATCTTTCCCCTTGTAAAATTTTCTTGTTGGATAATGCCTCTCCAAAAACTGAAATTCGGCTTCAACTACTCCCGATTTGGCAATGAAAACTGACTTCCCGCAATCGATTAACTCGTTTTCTATACTATGTTGCAATTGTATCGCCGTCTGGTTATGATTAGAGTACCGAAAACCTCTCGGGTGGTGGGTGTGTTGTGGATCTAGAAAATTAAATGATCGAAGGGCCTGTTTACTAAATATATTTGCTTCCATTTGCAATATAGTGTCACCCCTTAAAGACAGGATAATATACTCCACAAACTCAGGATATTTGGAATAACCTGACACATACTGTCGTGGTAACGAAAGCAAGTGGAAACATTCATTTGACGAGAAAGGGTTGTCAAGTTCTTTGACTTGATATGTATCAAAGGAATAATCAGTATTGTTCACGTAATTTAGTTCTAACATATACAACATCAAAAAATGCCAAGCAATCCTATCATATATTGGCTTTGATATTTCTTCCCTTGGGTCAATCATGGCTAAGTGATTGTTTGATTTCCCCGCGTAGGCTTGCAACCTTTTAGCCATTTTGGGTATATCAATCGTGTTCAGTTTATCACAAAGGAGGTGTTCAAAGAAACTAGGGCGCTGAGTGGCAAAGGGCGAGTTAAGTTCTGATATCATAATTCCATTATAACAATTTGTAAGAACGACGGATACAATACACCACAAACCAAGGATTACGCGAAAGAACCAGTTTCGTCGAATTTTTAAAGGTAGATGGCCACACTCTTCAAAAATCGTGGCAAGAACAAATAACCATGGGGCGAAGTGAATCTTTCGATAACCTGCGAAATATTGATAGGCTGTCGTGCTTATAATGATTGCTATCAGCGAGAAAACCAACGTCATCCATAGCAATTTTTTAAATGGTGAAATGTACAACTTTAAAGAAATGTACTCTTCTCGATAACACGTTAAAAATTCATACCCTGAAGTTTCTGTAGTTACAGCGGTAACAGTTTCATCTGATTCTACAGGAGCTGATTCTATAATTAGTTTGGATTTATAGTGGCAGACGGTTTTAGAATTTAATGTTTCGTTTGCAGCAAGGAATATAATTCTCAAAATATTTTCTGACTTGAAATAATTTCCCTTAGCGTCGAACGGATTTTTTATTTCTTGCAGCCAGGATTGGACTAATTTCAATTTGCCGTCATAACACCACTTTGTAGAAGGTAGCACAATACTTTGGACCGTCCGAAATACGTTGGTGGCCCTTTCGGACCTACAAGATAAGTGTTTGTTGAGGTTCGACTTTGGCTTATCTTCATACATTATTGACCAAGTACAAACTTCATGTTGGTTTTCTAGTGAAATGAAAAGTATGGAAAGTTTAAGATGTTGCTGAGCCCAGAAGTATACCTGTCCTAACCTGTTTCTATTTACTTTTGTGGTGACAAATGTCATAACATTATTCCAGCCTGTAATAAACTGTCTTCCAGTCCATTCGGTATAAAACTCGTGGTAATTAAGTGCGATCCATATCCATTTCTCCAAATCTAATGTTGTTCCCGGGTTTGCTTGTCGAACATCAAGATATGAACCTGACAGAAATATAACAAATTTGTTGTTTAGGGCTACGCGTGTTTTGAAAATGTCAATAAACGATATCGCATAAATATTCTCTCGTCGGCACATAATTTTAGTGGGTAGGCTCAAACTGGGCCAATCAATATTGTTAATATTTTCAGCGCCATCGTGTATTATCTGGATATCACAGGGATCTAACTTGTCCAACAAGATGTTGAAAACGTGGAGAGCTTTTGCCTGTAATGAAGTACTAGATGCACACTGGAAGATATAATATAGCGCGATGAAACGAAAGTATACGACTTCTGCCATTTAGGTTTGTTTAGAGACGGAATAGATACTAATATCTCTTCAATAATTTCGTTATTACAGCAAAGCAAAACTACTAGCGAAGTGACATGAGTATGGCTACGACTTTATTTATGTCAATTAAAGATCGTGTCATGCAGAAACGCATGAAGGAGCGATATTGTAAGTATTATTGTGAATAATTTTGGTAGAATTCACCGCCGGTTCTCTTGTTACGAGGTAGATCGAAGCTAAAAAAATCGATAGTTCATTTTGTGCCGAATATGGAAGACCCAAAATTGTAAACGGATGATAGGATTGTCAATAATTACGTAAAATTGTATGTGCCAGACAACAATTTTGTCGTATTTTATATTATTTATTGTTTTTTTATTTTATGCCCTTTGAATAGATCAACATTAAGCGAATAATCTTTGGCACCAATAAGTGTGTGAAGGTATCTAATTAAAAATGTTTGTAAGGAATGTGAAATATGTACCAGTGTATCTCATCTCCATACATATATGAATGTTGAAAATATTCACATTGTGTGTTTTAGTTTCATGTAAATGGTGGATGACCCCATTGGTATGTTGTCCCAGAAATTATATATCTTACTACATAAATAATTAATTACAATTTATGATTTCATATTTGTGTTTATAATAACACCTAACATGTTAAATCAAACTTGACCTGGTTGTCAGATCTGGTCATATATAATGTGAAAATGAAACGAGGTGATGCTTTTATGATACCACTGGAGTGAGTTTGTTGCAAGAAAACCTTATAACAAATGCAGATATTTAAGAATTATAAGTATTACACTAGCAAGTACGAACGTGGAAAATTTACAACCAGGAAAATCAAGTTATAAATCCCACTATCACATATTTATTCAGCTAATTGAACTGTCAATTGGCTTGGCAAGAGATAACAAATTAATGTGCACAATTCAGCATATATATCTTAAATAATTTGAGGAAAAATTGCATCGAAATTATTCCTTGTCACAAATAAAATTAATTAAAATCGTATCAATTTGCACGACGCACCTTGCATGACAACGAGTAATAATTATAAGATAGAATGATGCCTATACCAATCAGCTTCAGATCGATTGTGACATAAAACTTGACCAGACTTACATACATAACGATTATGGGCATTAAATTTCTCCAATTATTTTCCTTCACCGGATTTATTGGTTTTGCGATAGGATTCTCACAGTATGTAGAATTCTATTCGGAACTAGATTATTCAGGAATGCTGCTGCGATTCGATACCAAGGAGGCGGATCTTACGACATATCAACCATTATTACGGGACGTGCGGTCATTTTGTGGGAGAGGACAGTAAGAATAATTTATGTAATAATATATGTCGTTATAGTGTCATTAATTGGGTACAAGGAAGCCATAGATGGCGCTATCGACTCAAATCTTACAATATATATTTAGATACATAACAAAAATCACTGAAACTACTTCTCAGATTATCCTTCCGTTTAGCTATTTATTATTATCTATTTAATTGCGCTTATAATACAATACCTTCTGTTAAAGAAATGTTCGTTTTAACAAATGTCTTAATCAATAATGCACAATTTGTCGTATTCTTTTCTATATACAAGACGCATATCGGTTTAGAAGATAATATACGTAACATATTTCCAGTTGGTATGGCTATGACTCGGTAAACTTCACTGGAAACCCGACATTTGCCAGTTTCCAATACGACGGAGCTGAAGTTTGCGGAACCTTGCGACTTCCCATCACGATTTCGCTAAGATTTCACGGTCCTAGTGAAACAGCCCAACCTACGCTTTCCATCTACTCCGGGAGTGACAAACCACATGGCGGCGTCGAACGCACCTTTACTGGCTATACGGCAAGAAATTTTGGCTTCCTTCCCGCTTCAATAGTGT